TAGGAACTCGTTTCAATTATATAAATTGTCAGATTTCTTCATTGGTAGATTAAACAAATAATGCATCATCAGTCATTAGTACAAGAGTGAATTTGCATATTTGAATCAGATATAACTTATATACAAAGTTTTCTTGTATTGTATATTGTTGAGAGCCCAGTTGTTTGTGAAGAAAATGTTTTTCACAATTCCTTATTGACATCAAAGTTTATCAGCAGTTCAACACGGCAGTAGTTGCTCAAGATGTGAGTCATTCCTGCCACCAGTGGAACATTGCCAAGATCATTGATCCATGCTATGATTGTTGACATTGCCAGGAGCAGAAATTCTTTGTTGATATTGTAATCCAGGTTGCTTTAACTCTTCTTTGGTAAATGCTAGTGAAAATGGAACAGCTTTTAGTTTTTAAATAAGCACCGATTTACAGTGTCACAGCACCACATTTTCATAAAGCATATATGAATTGAAATCAAGGGAATTACTAAGGGTTCAGATCTTTCATATTTCATACTGTAGTTCTCAATAAATGAGTCAGTAACTTCTCTACTGCAAGTTGTTTACATAGCAGTTGCTCTCTAAAGCCTGAAGAATGATCTGGAATCTTTCTCTTAAGAAAGCCAGTTATTAGAATACTGCTTCTGGAAGCTCATTCTTCCTATGCCTTGGCTTTGAATTTAAAGAGATTGTGTTAGCACCCCATCTCATCTATTGATTATTTAAATTCACAAATTTAAGCAGGATTAAAACCTCTCTTCGCTTTAATTTCCATTTCTTGAAGATGTAAATAAGAAAGATTTTGCACAGGTTACTTAAATACACCACATTTTTCTAGAAGTAATTAAATATCTCCTTGCATGGTGCATGTGAGTTTTAATGGTGAAAGAAAATTTAAAGTGACCCTATCATTAAGGAACTTACAGTTTAGAGGATAGGAATATATTTATGAAACAACAATGCAAGTAAAGGCATGATTTCAAACTGTGTAACAGGGACATGATAGAAAGAGACCATGTAATTTCAAGGGACTAACCAGTTAGAGGATAATTCAGCAAAGGGTTCTCCGAATAATTGAAGTTGGAGCTGATAATTGTAAGAATGATTAGGAATTAAACATATCAAATATCAACAAAACCCAATTTCACATGTTTTCAATCTGGAGGAGAATTTCTTCTGTTGATGAAAAGAGTCAAACTGCAAAATACTTGAAGAGATTTATTCTGAGCAAATGTGAGTGACTATGACCCATGACACAGCCATCAGGAGACCCCCAAGAATATGTGCCCATGGTGGTCAGGGCATAGTTTGGTTTTATACATTTATACATTTGAGTATGTACACGTGAGACTCCTGTCAATACATTTAAGATACACGTTGGTTTGGCCCAGAAAGGTGGGACAACTCGAAGCAGTGGGAGAGGGGTTGCTTCCAGGATATACAGAGTTTAAAATTTTGTGATTGACGATTGGTTGAAAGAGTTATTGTTAATAGAGAGGAATGTCTGGGTTATGATAAGAGTTGTGGGGACCAAGGTTTTATCATGCAGATGAAGCTTCCAGGCAGCAGTCTTCAGAGAGAATAGTTTGTAATTGTTTCTTATCAGAGTTAAGGTCTGTGTTAATGTTAAATGTTGGTCAGCTTTTGCTGAATTCCAAAAGGGAAGAGGACATAATGAGGCATATTCAATGCCCCTTTCCCATGATGGCATGAATCAGTTTTTCAAGTTAAATTTGGAGGGACTTGGCCTAGAGGAGGAAGTCCGTTTAAATTGCTGGTGGTAAGGGAGTGGGGCTAGCTGGCGGTGAGAGGGGTGCTTTGAATTTTATTTTTTGTTTATACTTCTCTCCCTAAGACCCTGAAAAGAGGACAAAAGTGTTTGTAGTTCAGAGAGTAAGTAAGAATATGGTACAAGCTGAGAGTAGAGAGGGAAGCAGGGGACAGGACATGCAGGCCTTGCATGGATGTAAAGAATACTTGTTTCTGTCATAAGATCAATATGGGCCAAGCCTAGTGGCTCACACCTGTAATCCCAGCACTTTGGGAAGTGGAGGCAGGAGGATCACCTGAGGTCGGGAGTTCAAGACCAGCCTGACCAACTTGGAGAAACCCTGCCTCCACTAAAAGTACAAAATTAGCAGGGTATGGTGGCACATGCCTGTAATCCCAGCTACTTGGGAGACTGAGGCAGGAGAATTGCTTGAACTCGGGGGGTGGAGGTTGCGGTGAGCCGAGATCCCACCATTGCAGTCCAGCCTGGGCAACAAGAGTGAAACTCTGTCTCAAAAAAAAAGGAAAGTAAAAAAGAGCAATGTGATACCATTAACATGCTTAAAGGACAGTCAGGTTAACATCTTCCTTGTGAAAAGGTCACTATAGTTTGTAGAATGAATTTTTAGGTCGGCAAAAAATGTTCTACCATAGAAAAGTTGAAAGACTGTAAGTCCTATATCATTTAGGATACCACATAAGCTGATACTACAGAAAGATGATGCTGAAATAAGATAGGAGATTATTTCTATCTCACATAAGAAACTCTAGGTGCTCGCTGTCAACTTGCTTCTCCTCCATGATGTCATTCAGAGAAACAGGTTTTTTTTTTTTTTTAATCATTGTAGTTTTAGTATCTTCTGCCTCTAGACTATTTTTCTCATTTGCAAGGTCATAGTAGGGGCATCTCCATGCTATTATTTTAACCCATGGGCAGGGGCAGAAATGAAGGGGAAGCAATTGTCTATTATGCACAAATGTCGAGTTTTATCACAACACTGTGCTTACATGAGTTCATGGAAGCTGAGTCACATGGCTGCATCTAGCTTTGAGTGAAGCTGGGAAATATGTATGACCACACTCCTATGTTATCATGCATTATAAAAATATGGCAGTGTCTGGTGCTAAAAAAAATTTATCAAGAATGAACAATGAGGGACAATTATTAGATTACACATGAGGCAAATTAGATGGACTTCCCTTAACCCAAAGAAGAAACACAGAATTTACTGTAATTGTAAGAAGATGGCAGTAATTTGGTACAATTATTAGTTTGGTATAAAAATTTAATAAAATAATAGGAACAAAATGCATAATATAACCCCTGTCATATAATAGGAGCTGAACAAGAAATAAACATTGAAGCTGATACTAACCCAAATAGAATTATTACTAATAAAGTAATGGTAATTAATATTCAAATACTTTTTTCTTATCAAATAATTGGTTCTAAAATATAAAATTTTATATAATAGGTGGATAAGTATTAAAACATCCTTCTGGCAAGATTAAAAATATTTCCCTAATCTATCTACATTTTATTTTTGAAATTTAAACTTTATTTGCATCTGCTATTCTTTTTGCAGCTAGCAAAAGATTATGGCCCTGTGTTCACTGTTTATTTTGGCATGAAGCCCACCGTGGTGTTGCATGGATATCAAGCAATTAAGGAAGCACTGATTGATCAGGGAGAAGTATTTTCTGGCCGAGGGAGTTTTCCAGTGATAGAAAAAGTTACCCAAGGATTCGGTATGCTTCCCTTTGGGGTATGTGTGTGGATTTGTAAGTTGTAAAAACTTGAAAAATTTGAAGAAATTGAGAAATCATAAGTATTTAGAAAAATTTATGAAACACATTTTTCATATTTTCTACCTGAGGCTAAGAATAATTTTTCTATAAAGGATCATTAATCTATATTTAAAATCTGTGAAAGTGACACAATGTCCCTGTTAAACATTAAATTCAATGATAACAAGCCATCTAACCACTAATTTTTTACAAATTTGTTACAAAGACAAGTTCATCATAAATTATGGTCAGTTAAAAAAATAGAAAAGCAATAGAGAGACGAGAGAGGAGGAATATTACTGAATTATCTTATTCATCAAATATTTTGCTACTGGGTCTTAGTCATGGATACCCAGAGATTATTTTAGGAAGCTTGAATAGTGTGCATGGAACCACACCAGTTTGGAATATTTCCATGCTCACCTTGAAATATGATTCTAAAAAAGCATGAGCAATATTAGAATACAACAGAAGACAAAGCATAAAGCAAACATATGTTCTGAAAAGATCATGGAGAAACATGATCAGAGTATGAGTATGTATCAGAATTGATATTGGAAAAAGCTTTTTTGATTAAGTGCTGGAAATTTCTTTTATTTGTTTTTGGAGCTAGCCTTAAACTGTCAAGTCTTCTGGTGGATCACAGGGTTCTGGCAAATAGAGATATGACCTGAATGGCGTTCTGACCTCTTCTGCACTGTTCTCTAAGAGGCTCCCTGGAAACGTTTCCTACGAGCCTATTTTTTCCCCTTGATCTGGTCTTGACTCTGGCAGCCTAATATTGAACTTCTTTGATGTTTCCTTCCGTATTTCATGGGAGAGATTTAACAAATAGAAGGGAAATGTTAAAATGAGATTAGCTGTCTGTTTAATGACTGTACCCCTTATCTGAGAAATGATTATCAGGAGATATCTTCCAATGAAAAAGTGCTCTCTCACATTCTCCTGATAATTCCCTCCTCTTGTTATTTCTCTTAAAATTAACTTACCATTCAGGACATAGGCATGGGCAAAGACTTCATGTCTAAAACACCAAAAGCACGGCAGCAAAGCAAAAATTGACAAACGGGATCTCATTAAACTAAAGAGCTTCTGCAAAAGCAAAACAGAAACCTACCATCAGAGTGAACAGGCACACCTCAGAATGGAAGAAAATTTTTGCAATCTACCTCATCAGACAAAGGGCTAATATCCAGAACCTACAAAGAACCAAACAAATTTTACAGAAAAAACAAACAACAACCCATCAAAAGTGGGCAAAGGATATGAACAGACATTTCTCAAAAGAAGACCATTCTACAGCCAACAGACACATGAAAAAATGCTCATCATCACTGGCCATCAGAGAAATGCAAATCAAAACCACAATGAGATACCATCTCCACACCAGTTAGAATGGCGATCATTAAAAAGTCAGGAAACAACAGGTGCTGGAGAGGATATGGAGAAATAGGAACACTTTTACACACTGTTGGTGGGATTGTAAACTAGTTCAACCATTTATGCGAGACACACCACCTACACAGACACGACACATTCCTCAAAGAAGAGACAACCTAGAACTAGATGAAAAAACACACAAAAAAATACAACACCAGCCCACAACCATTGACTGGGTATAAAATACACACAACAACACAACAATTATAAATCATGCTGCTATAAAAGACACATGCACGCGTATGTTAAAACAAATGCAGCACTAATTCAACAAATAGCAAAAACTTGGAATCACGCCAAAATGTCCATCCAGTGACAGACTGCATTAAAGAAAATGGTGGCAACATATACACCATTCGAATACTCATGCAGCCATAAAAAAGGATGAGTTTTGTGTCCTTTGTAGGGACAAATGGATGCAGCTGGAAACCATCATTCTTTAGCAAACTATCAACAAGAACAGAAAACCAAACACCGCATGTCTCCACTCATAGGTGGGAACTGAACAATGAAGATCAACCCGGACCTCAGGAAGGGGAACATCACACACTGGGGCCTATCTATG